AAGACACACATTCTGCCCCTGACCCAATCACCACAAAAACCAACCAATCCCTGAGCAGGAAAACCTACAGAACATAATCAAACCAATCTCTGGGTTTGTCCAAACTCAGGGATTGGAATCTGAGCAATTCTTACCCTGGAAAGCTTCACCCTGGAAAAACTCCCTGACTAAGAAGCCCTACATAAGCCCTGTCTCTGTTCAATTGGTAGGTGCCTTATTTCTTCTTGCAGAGGAAGTCACCCTCCTGGACCCTTCTCCTAAAATAAATCTCTTGAATGAGGGTTGTGTGAGACCTTCTTTTGTCAGAAGGGAACAGAGCAGAGAGAGAACATTAGCCACACAGGAGCAGAACAGAACAGAACTGTAACATTTCCCTGGGGGATAACCTCCCCTAACAAAGGAGAGTTGTTACATTGCTGAAAGCTTTCCCTGGAGCAGAGATTTAAGCTGCTTGCTTAAGTTCACTTTGTGCTTTTCCTTGGTTCTCAACAGCCAAGATCCCTTTCCATCAAGCTGCAACACTCACAAAAACACTTACATTGCTTTTTTCATGTAATCCACCACCACATACCAACAAATGCCTTCCTGCTCAAGGTGCTCCAGTCTCTATTTAGCCCTTTCTCAGAAAAAAAAAAAACATGGTAGAGAATGCTAAAAGCGCAGGATTCTGCAGAGACTGTTGCCAGGAGGAAGAAGGTTCAGTAACTGTCACACTCATTATACTGGTGGATGAAGAGAGAAAGCGGCCAGACTCAATGACTAACAACCTCAAACTATAAGAAGGGAGGCAAGATACAAAGAATGCCCATGTGTTTGACACCAGAGTGAGACACAAGATGAGCACCCAAACAACAGAGGTTAACACGCAAGTGCTTGCTGCAACCAGCAGCATCCAATTACAAGCATCTTCACGATGACCAGAAGAACACTGCTTCTGGAAGTCCACCATGAAGCTTCCCTCCATTTTAAAGATACAGGTTCACCCTAGTCCAAGAATCAAACCCTACCAAAAAGGGATGAAAAGCAGAGAAGAGAGATATGAATCATGTCTGGAGCAACAAAGACTAAGGAAGGCATCTAGGAGAAGAAACCCAAAGAGAAGATTCTTGGAGTTCATCATCTAAAATGCTCTCAATACACTCAACTCTGTCCTTTAGCACAGTCACAATGGAGCCCATTGATCTCTTCCTTGGGTCATGGACTGATGATGATGGCTCATAAACCAGATCAACTGATACAGTTTCTCATCTGAGTTCCCTCCTCCCATGCCGAACTCTCCTTCCTGCCCAAGGGAACTGTCTGTATGTACAGTGAATGCTGAAAGCACACTCACTCCTGGAAGGTAACACCTAATAGGAACAACAGACACAGCTTCATCAATGAATGTTATAAGAAGCTCTGCCAATATCCTGGACTAAACCTCCTGAAAGGGAAACTTCCAGGCCAGGATTGCCTCCTCTCACTAGCACACCTCAGCCTGCATGGCTACTGTTAGTCTCCTGGCATCCTCTCCAACCAATCCCACCTGTTAGCTCAGAAT